AAGTTATCCTCTGACCGCCTCCACATCTGTGCCTTAACACATCTGCCCTCCCCCCAAAAAAAAATAAATAATTTTTTTTTTAAAAAAAGGAAAATTTAGCTCAACTTAACAGAGAAAAGCACCTAAGATAGGCAGGCAGTTCCCAGATCCTTAGGGTGCCAAGGCCATGGGATCATCTCTCTAAGGATATATGAGTGGAAGTGGTTTGTCCTCTGCCAAACTTCCCCTCTTGTTCCAAGACTCTAGTAGGAAGCAAACTACAGTAGAGATGGAGCCTGGATTCAGATCACTGCAGGGAGCGGAGTCCCTACTACCAATACACAAGCAAGCAGCACAGTCAAAGCGATGAGCTCTGATATGAATGAAGAAATAAATGCTTTATTACGGTAAACCTGTGATTTGGGGATGACACAAGTTACCTGCTCAAGCACTGAGGGAAAGAGACAGCCTTTCTGTATCTACACGGAGCATTAAGTTTATGATAAGGCAGCAGAAACAATGCCATAATCTGAGGTGAAATGCAAAAATCACAAGATCACTGATGTTTGGTTCTCTCTGCTCAGATCATTTCTTCAACCTCTGTTAGTATTTTTTAACTTGTTTTAGGTACATTCCCTTAATAAATAATTTTATATCATATCCAGCTTTCATATTTAGATACACAGCTGAAAAGTTTCACAAAACAATACTTGCATTTACTACATGATACATTCTGACCTACTTTATTCTACATCGTTGCTTTGCAATGCCAGTGGCCACCCACTAATTTGATTCCACCATTCACTAATGGGCTGAAATCCACTCTAAAACTTCATTTTTGTGATCTTTGTAAGCCAATCCATATATGAAAAGACGTGTGACTTGAATTAAGAAACAGTTTTCACTTTGGAAAATTCAGAAACAAATTTGACATCACGTATTTATAAAAGGCCAAAACAGATGGAACGTTCTGTTTGAACAAACAGGGAGCTCAAGGAAAAGCAACTGAGGCAAAGATGACTTGAAGGAAGCACCAACAGATCACATACTTTAAGGCAACTCAACACTGTACAATGTCAAATGATCAGCATATGAGAATTAAAACACTGCAGAAGTGAGTCTCCTTCACATCTGATGGCTTACATGCTGTGAACATCAGCCCAAGGTAGGTTTATAAGATGAGGGCTTTCTGTGAACCCTTCCCATTTCCAAGTGCTTTAAGCCATGTTAGCATTCAGAAAGTAAGCACAGATGCGCCCATAGAGACACCACAGGAAGCCACCACCACACAAGCTTAGGAGCACACATCACTGAGATGCCCAACCAAAATGGTCACTTCACCGGACACAGCAGAGCGGCTCACCTCTACCCCAACTAAGAAACCACCCACACACTAAGCTGCCGATCCTCCAACCAGTGAGCCTTGCTGTGGCAGAGAGCTCTGGGCACAGCTTTTCTTTTTTTGTGGCTCTTGTGGTGCTTGACCAGAGCCAAGCTGAATTGAGAGGTTTCCTAGCAGTCCTGGCCCACATAGCACATCTTGTGGCTGTGGCTCTTGTGATGCTCCATAAAATGTGAGAGCCAATCAAAGGCCTCCCCACACTCACTGCAGGTGTAGGGCTTCCCTTGGGGTGCATCATACACATCAGCTGCAGGGCAGCCCAGAGCAGAAGTGCCCGGGTCCTGCCCAGAGTCATGGCCATCTGCACCAAGCTCCTTCCCCACATCAAATGTTGGTTGGCTGCTTGTGCTAGGGGGACACCCAAGGTCATCGTCATTTTCATCGTCTGGATGGGGCCTCTTTTTCCCAGTGCCCGGCTGTGGGGTATCTTTGTCCTGGGCTGACTGCCTGATGACTGATTGCCTATGGGGACTGGTGGAGCTTGAATCCTCTTCCTCAGCATCCAGAACCTTCTGAGGTTGTTGTTCCTCTTCCTGGGCAGTATCTAGCAAAGGACTAACAGGAACATCCCCTGAAAGCCTCTCCGTCAGTGTCTCACACATGGAGACGTCTTCACACACGTTCCCTTTGCTTTCCTGCTGTGTGCCACCATCTGGAACAAAGTCAGAATGTGAGCAGTCCTACCTCCTGCTCTGAGACAGAAACTGCCTCCTGAGCAGAATCAGGAAAATGAAGTGAGGCCCAAAGGCCTGAGCACAGGGGAAGAGGCATCAGACAAGCTCTGACATGCACAGCCTAACCCTCTTTATGACTCACAGCAGCTAAGTGCAGTATCACAGGCCTCAGAGACCCATCATCCTCCCCCAGAATCTGCATGCCCTTCTTTGACAGTCTGAGTACCCACTGAGCTTGGGCTGCTGTCTGGAAGGACTGTAACTCCCAGGCTGTTCTGCTGGTAAGGTGGCCATGGAACTAGATTCTGGTCAGAAATATGAAAGGTCAGGAGGAGCCACTCCTTCCTGCTCTGTTTGAGATCTCAAGCTGCAATTGAGGTGACTTTAGCAGTGCAGATCACATAGAACTGCGGGGTGGAGGAGGGGAACGAGTCTGTCACGAGAAGGAGAAATGAACCCTGTAGTAGGCCAACTGGCTACCCTGATGGGTAGTAATGAACCATAATCTCAGGAATTGTGCCCTGGGACGGTCTCCCTCACTCACTTGGCCCTGGGACTGACTGCAGCCAGTGGGACACTGGCATACACAAAGCAAGCAGTAGTATGGTAAGTGCTTACCCATGAATGCGCCCCCCCAAATCCCAGGTGCATCCTGTGAGGAAGTCAAAGTCAGCCACTTGGAGAAGCAAAAAGAATAACCTGGTTTCACAGCCTTAGCTCAAGTCTGTGGAGAGCCAGTGCCAATTGTCAGTGTGTGAGGCCACTGGAACCTGGGCAGGCCTCTGCATGACTGTGAGTGTGGGTGTGTCCTTAGAGCCACCAGAAAGGAATAGGAGGGCTAGAGAGTTGACTTAGCCCAGTCAACCAACAGATCACAAGTGTGCTCTTTCAGGTGACAGGTTTTAGTGGAGTTTGTTCAGCAAGAGATAATGAAATGCCTGAATTCCAGCCTCCTGCCCCTACACAGTGGGTATGAGAATAAATTAAGTCAAAGCTGGGGTCTCTGCTGAGGCTGACGGAGGTATGAGGAGCCCCACAAATCTTAAAAAAGAGAGATGTACTCTACCATAGTTACCCCCACCAGATCCCTGACCAACACTATCTAATTCAACCTCACCTGGGCGGCTCCCTCCAGGCAGTTCTTCCATTGCACGAGGTTCCTCTGTCTCCATCGTGGAGGCTGGGCCAGCTTGGAAAAACTGATACCCTGAGGTTTGGAGGAAAAAGAAAAAGTAAAAGAGGCATCTACACAGCTGAGAGGCTCCATGTCCCACTGGCTATCTGGGACCCAGGTTGCAGTCTTTGTATAGGGACAATCCCTCCACCACCATCTCCACCAAAGCTCATTCCAGTCAGAACCCCTGGACAGCTGAGAGTTCTAGAAGGGCAGCAGAGGCAGAGGCAGATCTTCCTGGGTGAAGATGGAGGTTATAAGTAGAGCCAGAGGGAAATGTGGGGAGTCCAGAGGGAAGGGAAGTCAAAAGCAACACAAAATTGGACTGTGTATACTCAGTAGTGCAGCACATGCCAAGCATGTGCGAGATCCTGGATCAGTCCCCAACGCCAGGAAAAAAAAGATACAAAACTACAAAACAGAGCTGATTCTATATTTGAGCCTCCCTACAATGGAAGATTCTGGAGTAAGAACTTAAATGAAAAAAGACTCTTTACCAGTGAGGTGGGAATCTAGGTGCCTTGGAGCCAGAAGGCCTTTCTAAATCCAGAGGCCCGGTCTGCAAACAGAAAGCCCCAGGACCCAGGCAGAACGTAGAAGTACAGACCAGGACAGGTAAGGAACTTGGTAAACAAATCCAAGTTCAAAGACACTTAAAACATGTTGTTTATCACATTTAAATCACCCTTGGTGTCCCAACTACAGTCCCTGGAACAGGGTCAGAATCCTCCACGCCAACAGCTCTTGAAGAGGATGCAGGGTAGAGCGTGAGCCAGTGGGAGGTGGGTCTCACCCCACAGGAGCAGCTTGCTGTAACTGGTCAGGTTATCTTCTGTAGGATCCAAGTGGTCCCATTCTGACTGTAGAGGCCCCTGTGGAAATGATGTTTCTGAAACAGCAGCTCTGACCCACCCCACGGTGCCCTGAGGCTTCTACCCCTGAGTTTCCACAAGGGCAGGTTTCTCAGCCTCAACACGATATTTGGGCCCATAATTTTTTCCTGTGGCAGAGTATTCATGTTGGGAGAGGGAGCATGTCAGCTGTCATGGAGGGACAGACCCTGTGAGCTGCTGGACAAGATCAGCCCCCCTGGGCCAGCAGTAGTCCCCTTTACCTACCTTCTGCTCAGCTGTGGCAGAGTTGGCCTCTTCATTCTTCACCCCTGTTCTCCCATGATCGAGAAGCATGGATTCCAGAGTTGGCCAGGCTGGGAGAAGAGGGGCTGAGGAGACAAGTTCTTAGTGGCTGGGCATCTCCAAAACAAACAAATCCCACTGCCTCCCACACAGGCCCCAGGATGAGGAAAGAAAAACCTCTTCACACACACTTCCCAAAGCCGGGTGGACACTGCATCTGCCTGCAATCGACAAAGCCAGGAGGACCGGTAGGAGGGAAGACACTGAAGCTCAGCAGACCTCAGACATGCCAGCTCAAGTCATGAACGGGGCTTTGCTCTTTTTGTGCCAACTAGATTGGTAGAAATCTTCAACAAAACACACAGTGCTGGGGCTGGAGAGATGGCTCAGCAGTTAAGAACACTGCTCTTGCAGAAGACCCGGGTTCAAATCCCAGCACCCATATGACAGCTAACAACTGTCCATAACTCCAGTTCCAGGAGATCTGACAGCCTCTTCTGTCCTCCGCAGGCATTGCATGACATGGGTGCACTTACCTACATGTAGGCAATACACTCATACACATAAAATAAAAATAATAAATAAGCTGGGCGTGGTGGCGCACGCCTTTAATCCCAGCACTCGGGAGGCAGAGGCAGGCAGGTCTCTGTGAGTTCAAGGCCAGCCTGGTCTACATAGTGAGTTCCAGGACAGCTGGAGCTACAGGGAGACCCTGTCTCAGAAAGACCAAAAATAAATTAATTAATTTATTTATATATATATATCACAGTGCTGTCAGGGCAAGTAAGCAGCCTCCTATGCTGGCACTGAATGCAGCACAAAGTTTTCTCAGAGCCACGTGAATGTTTCTGCAGTATATGAATGCTAAAGTGCACATGGCCTTTGTCCACTAGTTGTGAGGAATCCATGCCACACACCAGACTGCCCACAATAAGGCCATGTCACTGTAGCCTCTTCAAAAGGGCAAACTACTGGAAGGGCAGAGCACACGAGGGGCCAAAACTCTGACCATCCTGGAAGGGCTGCCTGACTTGAATAACAAGTGAGAGGGCATGAGTCCACCACAGCCCACGGACCTTTGACTCACCTGATATATATGCACTAGGACACAATTTTATTTTTAGAGGGTATGATGGGGTCATGAGGAAAAAAATACACACACATATTATTTTTTGGTAGTACTAAGGTTTTGACTTAGAGCTGCATCCATGCTAGGCAAGTAAGTACTCTACCACTAAACTATATTCACAATGAAATGATACCTTGTTTGATAAACATGTAGGGATGGCAAATTGAGAAAAAAAAAAAAAAGTAACACATCTCATATTCACAAGGCCCTACATGAGTAAGTCACTGCTCAGCACAGACATCAATGCCCTGTTACCTGACCTCCCCCTGGCTTTTTGCTGCCTCCAGAACACTCTCCTCTTTCCCAACCACAAGCGCACATACATGCACGCGCACGTGCACACACACACACACACACACACACACACACACACACACATACACCCAGCCACCTCCCCATGAAGGCCAGCCAGAGGCTAGTGGACTCTTGCTACTCACAGGTATCACGGTACAGCAGGATGTCCCTAGATCTTAGGTTTCTGCTGGGACTCAGCAGCCCTCGTGGTAGCAGCAGGGGCTTGGCACACCGCTCATAGACTCCCTCGCTGGATGAAGGTGATGACCCACCCGGGGAACACAACATCACCCCTGTGTACAATCAAGGCAACAGTGATTCCAAGAGATTGAGACTTGAGCCAACAACCACACAGAAAATCCACAGTGGGCCAGTTATGGACCCATGGTATGACCAAAGCACCTAGGCTCCCCGACACCATCACCACCCATCTCTCAGGCCCCACCCTTAGACATGGAGGAAACCTCCAGCCAGCGATACAGCACCCAGAATATTTACCTAGTTTTTAACAGCCTGGTACCTGCCTTTGACTGCCCTCCATTTCTCCTGCTTCCTAACACCTGGAAAGCACATGTGAGGGCAGGAGCCCAAGTAGCTGTCCTAGTCCATGAGGCAAGCCTGGTGGAGATGCCACTGGGCAGAGCGGTGGGGGCGTGGATCCCTGCTGACTGAGGAGCTCCCTTACCATCTCAGGGATGCTGGTTTCTGTGCCTCTTAACACATGGGGTGACTAAACTCTCAGGAAAGCCACAGCTGGGGTTTGAACTCTATGTTGTAGACTTCAATCCTTCCAGGACCTCCTGCCCGTCTCCTCTAAGGCATGCTTTCTTCTGGGGTGGCAGCCTCACCTGGCTCCTCCAGGATGTCAGAGAGACCCTCCACCAGGGAGGCAGCCTTCTTGCAGTTCTCAGGATACTGGGCCACCACCCAGGGACGGACCCTGTCTGGCAAGATACCCAGGAACTGCTCCAGAACCAGCATCTCCAGAATCTGCTCCTTGGAGCAGGCCTCAGGCCGCAGCCACTGGCGGCAGAGCTCATGGAGCCTAGCCAGAGTCTGGTGAGGCCCAGCTGCTTCCTGGTAGACAAATTCCCGGAAGCGTAGGCGGGAGAACTCAAGGTCAGCAGGAGATCTCTCAGGGATGGTCTCTGGTTCTGGTTGTGGGCTAGGCTCTTCCTGTTGGCTGGTTTTATCCTCCTGACTGGGTTCATCCTTCCTGCTGGGTTCAACCTGTAGGATGGGCTCATCCTTCTGGATGAGTTCTTCCCGTTGAATGGGTTCATACTGTTCAATGACTTCTTCCTGCTGAATGACTTCCTCCTGCTGAATGATTTCCTCCTGTTGGATGGGTTCCTCTTGCTGGATGGGTTCCTCCTGCTGGATGGGCTCATCCTGCTCAATGGGCTCATCCTGCTGGATGGGTTCCTCCTGCTGGATGGGCTCATCCTGCTCAATGGGCTCATCCTGCTGGACAGGTTCCTCCTGCTGGATGGGCACATCCTGCTCAATGGGCTCATCCTGCTGGATGGGTTCCTCTTGCTGGATGGGCTCATCCTGTTGAATGGGTTCATCCTGTTGGATGGGTTCCTCCTGCTGGATGGGTTCATCCTGCTGGATGGGTTCATCCTTCTGAATGTGTTCCTCCTGCTGAATGGATTCATCCTGTTGAATGGATTCCTCCTGCTGGATGGGTTCCTCCTGCTGGATGGGTTCCTCTTGCTGGATGGGCTCATCCTGTTGAATGGGTTCATCCTGCTGGATGGGTTCCTCCTGTGAGATGGGTTCATCCTTCTGAATGTGTTCCTCCTGCTGAATGGGTTCATCCTGCTGAATGGGTTCATCCTGCTGGATGGGCTCATCCCATTGGGTGGGTTCCTCCTGTTGAATGGGTTCATCCCCCTGGATGGGTTCATCCTGTTGAATGGGCTCATCCTGCTGGATGGGTTCATCCTGCTGGATAGGTTCATTCTGTTGGATGGATTCTTCCTGTTGAATGTGTTCATCCTGTTGAATGGGTTCCTCCTGTTGAATGGGCTCATCCTGTTGAATGGGTTCATCCTGCTGGATGGATTCAACCTGTTGAATGGGTTCCTCCTGTTGAATGTGCTCATCCTGTTGGATGGGTTTATCCCGTTGGACGGGTTCATCTTGTTGAATGGGCTCATCCTGCTGGATGGGTTCAACCTGTTGGATGGGTTCATCTTGTTGGATGGGTTCCTCCTGTTGAATGGGCTCATCCTGTTGGATGGGTTCCTCCTGTTGAATGGGCTCATCTTGCTGGATGGGTTTATCCTGTTGAATAGGCTCCTCCTGCTGGATGACTTCCTCCTGCTTGATGACTTCCTCCTGCTGAATGACTTCCTCTTGCTGGATGGGTTCATCCTGTTGGATGGGTTCCTCCTGCTGGATGGGCTCATCCTGCTGGATGGCTTCTTCCTGCTGAATGACTTCCTCTTGCTGGATGGGTTCCTCCTGCTGGATGGGCTCATCCTGCTGGATGGCTTCCTCCTGCTGGATGGCTTCTTCCTGTCTAGTGGATTCATCCCACTGGCTGCATTCATCTTGCTTTAAGTGTTCATCCTGCTGGCTAGGTTCCCTCTGCTGAATGAGTTCCTCCTGTTGGCTGGGTTCCTCCTGTTGGCTGGGTTCTTCCTGCTGGCTGGGTTCCTCCTGTTGGCTGGGTTCTTCCTCTTGCCTGGGTTCCGGGTGCTCAATGAGTTTTTCCCCCCGGCTGGGTTTCTCTTGCTCCCTGGACTCTTCCTGCTGGGCTGTATCTTCTGACCCCAGAGTAGGTGGTTGTGGAGGGGGTAGGGAGCTCCTGGGGGAAGCCAACACCTTCTCCAAAGGCAGCATCTTACCAGACCTCCACGGAAATGCAACTGTGTCTAGCAGAGATACCAATGATAACAAGGTGCCCAAGGGAAGTCAACAGTGCCAGGACCTGAGGAAAAACAGGGGACATCAACAAAACAGATGCCCACATGGTGAGACCCCAGCCATGGGACACCCATGAAAAGAAGGAAGGAAAGTGTCTGAGCTCAACCCTGTATGCACCATCCCCAGATACTATGCCAAATTATTTCTAAGCAATCTGCTTGCTACTGTCAGTACAACTCTAACTTTTTACTTGTACAGATAAAAATTAAAGTATGTGGAAAGGGCAATTTTATAAGACTGGTAATAATAGAATTTTTTAAAGTTAAGGATAAGCCAGACATGGTAGCACACGCCTTTAATAACAGCACTTGGGAGGCAGAGGCTGGTGGATTTCAGGCTGGTCTGGTCTAAGATAACAAGTTCCAGGGCAGATGGAGCTACATAGTGAGCCCCTATTTAAAAAAAAAAAAAAAAAAGGATAAGACAGGGGCTGGAGAGATGGCTCAGCGGTTAAGAACACTGGCTGTTCTTGCAGAAGACCCAGGTTCGAATCCCAGCACCCACATGGCAACTAACAACTGTCTGTAACTCCAGTTCCAGGGGATCTGATGGCCTCTTCTGTCCTCTGCAGGCATTGCGTGACATGGGTGCACTTACCTACATGCAGGCAATACATGCATACACATAAAATAAAAATGATAAAATATTTTTTTTAAAAAAAGGATAAGATAAAGATGAAAAATTACAGGACAATTTATTTTAGTTATATATCTAGATGAAAATGCCTTACAATATCAGTAAATATTCTTACTCTGTATGATGTATACATCACATCACACTAGATTGGATTTATGCCCAAAATGTAAAGCCAGTTTAACATATAACTATATATTATTGGGACAACTTTAGTCCCCAAGACATGGAGGATGTAGGTGCACCTAAACACCTAAAATAAAGTATGTCTTTAGAAAAAAAAAGTAGAAGAGTGTAACCCATGCTGAAGGTTGGCGGATAACCAACATCTGTTTCTGGAAATACCTGGATGTGAGTGGGCTTATCTTTCCATAGGACCAGGTATAAAGAATCAAACAGGGTCTGGAAGAGAAAGCTCTGGTCCTCACCAACAATCTCCCCACCCCTGGCTGCATCCCTACACACAGGTCAGGCACCTATAGAAGGAGAGAAACTAGAATGAGGGATGCTAAGGTGAAGCTCCTTGATTCTAATGGCTAAAAAACAAGCTAGCTAAAAGGACCCAGGCAGACCACGCCTGGCCTTAGGCCTATAATGTCATCATTGTGACTCCCAGGGTCCACCTGGGTCCAAAGATCCTTAAAGCCAGCAGGAGGGAGGTTCCCCTAGGTAGCATAAGAAGAAAACAACACCCAGACCCAATGCAAGCAATGTGGCTGACAGAATGACAGAAAGGAACCAAATTTTCTTTTAAAAACTGTTTTTGAAGAACTCAAGAAAAATCTGTCCATGACCACAGCTGTACCACCATCTCTCCTACCCCAGCTCCCCTCCAATCAATTTTCATCTTACAGAGCTGGTCCCTCAAGACTTTCCTTCCACAGTCCCCGCACATTTTCACATACCTCAACTACACCCGCTTTGTATCTGCTCATGGCCTGCCTCCCCTACTGGAACACAAGTCTTAGCAAAGCAGGGACTTACAGGTAAGTCACTGTGGGCCTAGCAGTTCCTGGTTCAGTATTTGTTGACTATACCTTTTAACAAGACATCTCTGTTGAAGGACATGCCATCTGTGCCTGATGCCTAGTATGAACCTCAGGACCATCTACTGGGGTCAAATATGGGACATATTTGGAGGCTAAATGGAGACATAAAAACCCCTGGGCTATAGGGGCAACCTCACCCCTACAGCCCACACTGGCAGCATACCCATCCTCCCTCCCACCCCAGCCACCATGCCTGGCTCTAATGATCTAATGATTTTTTTTTTTTTTTTGGTCTTTTTGAAACAAGGTCTCCTGTAGCCCCAGCTATCCTGGAACTCACTATATAGACCAGGCTGGCCTTGAACTCACCTCTGTGGAGAGCTGCCTGCCTCTGCCTCCCAAGTGCTGGCATTAAAGGCATGTGCCACCACACCCGCCCAGTGGCTCTAATGATTCTTATTATCAGTTCAACAAAAATAAATTTCTGAGTTCAGAAACTTGATTAACTTTGGGTTTCCATCCCTACCTCAGGATTACAAATGCATTCTCCTAGAAAAAGGACAGCAAATGCAAAGACTCAGGTAATAGATTAGGCCCCGGAGTCAATCTTGGTGGTGACTACTCAACTCTGCCTTGTAATAAGGCAATGAGAGTCCTATGCCCCCGACATGCTTCCATGTAACATCCTTCCAAAGGCAAGCTATCAGCTGGCCTCTAAGTTGGTTTGCCAACCTCTGTCCAGGCTTTCAACTTTTCTTTGATTGACCCAACATCTTTTTCTTTTTAATATTTTATTATTTTTATTTTATGTGTATGAGTATATTGCCTGCATGTGTATAAGTGCACCCATGTCATGCAGTGCCCACAGAGGTCGAAGAGGGTGTTGGATCCCCTGGAACTAGAGTTAGGACAGTTGTTAGCTGCTATGTGGGTGCTGGGAATCAAACCCAGTTCCTCTGCAAGAGCAGTCAGTGCTCTTAACCACTGAGCCAATTCTCTCCAGCCCCTCTTTTCTTAACTTCAAAAAGATTTTTTTATTTTTATTTTATGTGTATGAATGCTATACCTGCATCTAAGTAAGTGCACTCATACATGCAATGCCCACAGAGGCCAGAAGATGACGTTGGATCCCCTGGTACTGGAGCTAAAAGGATGGCTGTAAGCCACCACCATGTGGGTGTTGGGAACCGAACCTGTGTCATCTGTAAGAGCAGCCAGTTCTCTTAACCGTTGGCATCTCTCCAGCCCGCCCTTACCTCTTCTATGTTCAGAACTTGGAAAGTGGAAGAGAAGGTCACAAAAGGTTGACCTTAGAAGAAACAGAGGTGATGGTTATGTGTGATGACCACAGTGGTGAAGGGAATGTGGGGAGGACCAGTCAGAGGCTGAAGGAAGGGAGCACTAATGAGGAACTGAAGCAAGAAAGATCAAGCAGCTATCAGTTGGCAGATAGAGTCCTAAGCCCAGGACTTAGCTTTACACTCTGCATCTGTTTTCCCACCTGCTCTTTGTCCCTACCCCTCAGGGCTTGTGAGACCATGAGATGACATGAATTCCCAGGGATCTGGTGGGTGGGGCCTGTGTGTGGACATCTTAACAAGTTCACAGTTACCTTCACGGACACAAGTTCTGTGTAGGATGAACATATCTGATGTTGTCTAAAGAAAGGAAAATTACATGCTCAAATGACCACATACCTGCATGTGCCACATAGAGCTCTGTGTGTTCAGTGCCCAGTGGGATAAAATGTAGCTGTGTTTTCTTGCTGGAGCTGATGTTACTCCACATCAAAAGATGCTCTAGGTTCAAATCCCAGCACCCACACGGCAGCTAACAACTGTCCATAACTCCAGTCCCAGGGGATCCAACAGCCTCTTCTGACCTCCGCGGGCATTGCATGACACGGGTGCATTTACCTACATGCAGGCAATACACGCATACACATAAAATAAAAATAATAGATAAATTTTTTTTTTAAAGTTTAAAAAAAGAAGAGGTAAGGGGGCCTGGCTAACAGAAAGGACTAGATGTCTATGGCCACAGGAGGCAACAGTCTGCCCTAGACAACCATCTCCCTTCATAATGCAACCCTGGCAGTTAAGACCAGCAAGAGGCCATCTTTGGACTCTCGAAAGACTGTAGTCATAAACACACTGTTTGCTTCCCTTGGGCCAATACCTGGTTGCACTGTCACAAGGACTTTTCCTGTTACACATATCCAATGGGATCAAATAGCTTGAGTAAGGCCACAATTCATCACCTGAATTCCTCCCAGCACTGAAGACACAGGGATTGTAGCACATTATGATGCAGGTTAATCCTAACCCCTAGGGGCTGTCCAAGATTTGGTTTAGATAGATTTCCTGGAGTTCAGCCCACTGGCTCCACCAGATGGAACAGAATGGGCATGTCAAGCCTGACCAGGGTTTATCCTCTCCTGGGGCCTGGGATGCTGAAGCTGAGAAAGAGAGAGAGAGTTACAGGAGGTGGCTGGACAGGTGGCCGACGTGGGGGAATCCCAAGGCTGGCTGGACATAGAACTCAAGTACCTCCTCCAGGCCTCTTAAGCACCTAAGGAAACCTCATTGCTGGCTATTGCCTTAGCTGCAAACAACACCAACTCCTCCTCAGGCCCTGTAAACAAAATACCACCTTTTCTAACCTCTGTGGTCGGGCCTGATTATTATAATCCATAAACACTAAAACTAAACTCACTAGGTCAGCGGGAAATGGCCACAAGGTCTCCCCTGTACTCAAGCACAAATTACTTATATATTACAAAAGGTGAGAATACACCTTTAGAAGAGTGCAAAAGCACAGTGAGACAGATCATTATTAAAATAGTTGCCTTCTGTGGTCCCTGCCAAGAAATACTCTCACACGAGACCACGCATAGCCAGACACAGATGTCCTGAACAAACTGGCCTGAGCTTCCTAAAAAACTCAAGATCACAGGCCCAAAGATCAAGAAAAGTGAGGTGGCTCATGGTAAGTAACATGGGGCCCTGTTCTGGCTCCAGGGTAGGAAAGGGAACTTCCAAAGCATGTCAGAAAGTGGAAGGATCTGCACTGTAGGTGGATGAGCCTGTAACATCTGACTTGGCCAAGAGGCTGGCTGAGATACAGTCAACATACAGGAGCAAGGTCAAAGAGAATGGAGGGAGGGAGGGAGGGAGGGACTCCCTGAGATAGGCAGTGGATCTTTGAGTGGGCCCTTCAGGGCTGACCTCCTCAGAGCTGGAACTGACTGTGCCTGCAGTGGACACAGTTGTGGAGTGGGAAGGGAGGAAAGGAGGCCAAATACTAAGAGGTAGACCCTGGGCAGAGGGCATGGAGGCAGGGTTCCTATGACCTCAGAACTTTTCTCTAAGTTTTTAAAAACTAACTCCCAGTGGTTCACAGCACCCCTTGCCTGCCCCTCCACAGCTAGTACTGGGGAAACTAATACTCTCCATTCTTCCCCAAGCCCTCCAGGTCAGGACAGCATCTAAGAGCCACGGCTGTCATCCCTAGGCTATGAAAGGGGTCTTTGGGCAGGAGCGAGGCACCTAACTCAAACAGAACCCATTTGCAGGGAGCTGCAGAGAGACCAAAAGGTCTCCAGGTGCCCCAACAACTCAGCAGACACCCCACACCCCTAAGCAGTTTATTATCACTCTGCCCAGAGGACTGCTCCTAGAACTCTCCCCCAACTTTCCCAATCTCTTCCCACCCTTCCTCCCCCAACCTAAGTATACTTTCAAATCCTGCCTCTGGAGGACACAAACACAGGGACACCGAAAGCCCTCCCTGCCCCACTCATACGTACTCATCTTTCCCCCTCCTGGACTTCCTAGCCCTGCCTGGATCTGCATCCAGAGGTCCCCATTCACCCTCTCCTAATGCCTTCCCCTCCCCCTCTGCTGCAGTCTCCCAGCCTCAAGACTGGTCCACTAGCTTCTACCCAGTCTACACCTAAGAAGCCTTCACTGGGCCAAGCTCTCTCAGCCTTGCCCCTTGCTGGTCCCACACGTTAGAACCACACTCCAGGATCCTAGTTCATACCATTCCAAACTCCCATCAGATGGGTCCTCCAGATGGCCCTTCCCAGCACCACACTTGGGCCCTTCCTGAGCACAGCATTCCGGGGCCACAATCCCACACGGGGACTCCCAGACCTCCCTTCCTAGCCCCACAAGTTAGAACTACACCCCAGTTCCCAGTCAAACCATACTCCATGCTCCCACCTGATAGCCCTCTCCCTCACTGCCCCTCCCTACCCCACTATGGGCTGCAGCATTCCGGGACCACACCCCCATTGAAAGGCCTTGAGACCTTCCTTCCTGGTTCCACACGTGGGAAACCCTTCACTGTCCCCCTCCCACCCCCATACTCTGGCACAGCACCCAGAGGCCACACCTCCCAATCAAAGGGCTTTAAAGCCTTACTCCCTTCCAGGGCACAACATCCCTAAGGCCACACCCCCACCTAAGGGCCTTGAGACCTTCCCTCCCAGCTCCACTCCTGGAAACCGTTGGCTCTCCCCCTCCCAGCCACCTACTCTGGCACAGCACCCAGAGGCCACACCCCCACCCAAGGGCCTTAAGGCTTTACTCCCCTCCGGGGCACAGCAACCCAAGGCCACACCCCCATTCAAGGGCCTTGAGACTTTCCCTCCCGGCTCCACTCGTGAGAAACCTTTCATAGCACCCCAAGACCACATCCCCACCCAAGGGCTTAAAGCTTTACTCCCCTCCAAGGCACGGCACCCGGGCCCTGAGACCTTCCCTCCAGGCTCCACACGTGGGAAATCCTTAACGCTTCCTCTCCCGGTCCCATACTCAAACACAGCACCCCGCGGCCACATCCCTACCCAAGGGCCTTAAGGCTTCACTCCCCTCCAGGCACAGCACCCCGGGGCTGCACTTCCACACCTGGGACCCGCACCCTCCCCTCTAGGTCTCCACCCCACCCGAGACGCCCTCATTCGCCCAGGTGCACGGGCCGAATGCCCATCCAGGTCGACACCAGGCGGCCCGACCCACCTGCTGCGCAGTGACGCCCCACGGGCTCCCGCAGCCTCGAACCCCAAGCGGCGCGATGGCGGCTGACTGCAATGCGCGTGCGCGCCGGGCTGCCTGAAGAACTGCGACCCCCAGCATGCTGCGGGGGTCCTGAGCCGCTCGGACAGAGCAGGCAACCAATCAGAGGGAAATCCGTCTTCATTGCACCCTCATTTGCACCTGCGTCACTTCCGATGCCATGGCAACGAGGTAAACAAGCGGAAACTGAAAAGTAGCCTAGGACCACCAGAATCTGAGAGGCGGAGACAAAGACGGGAAAAGACAGACTTTAAGAAAGACGCAGGCGGTGGGAGGGTGACAGCCACCATAAAACTTGGAATGCGCATGCATCCCGGGGAGTCTAGACATCAGACACACAAAGAGAAACTGAGGACAGGTGGGGAGACCTACAGACAGACACACAAAAATGGAGACCCAGAAAATGGGAACACACGCAAGGATGAAGACTAGGGACACTCAAGAGCCAAGAAGACACCAGTGCGCAGGCCCAGAACTGACAGCTCTAAAAAGAAACATCAAGGCAGGGATCCAGGATGGCGAAACAGACAGGTGCAGAGACAATGAATGAAAAGACCAGACTGGCTGGGAAGAGCTACAGTTCAAGGAGCAAAATGCATTCAAAGACTCTGCCAGACCTTTGATAGGCACCACCGGGAGGATCAGGAGAGAGTTGGGGCCTGAGGAGTAGACCGGGCAGGAAGCCTTACCTCCAGCATGTTCCAGAACAGATTGTCTGGAACGATTCTTAAAATGTGTAGCTGAAAAATTTTCTACTACAGAGGTTTCATTCTTTATTTGCATAAAAGAAAACACTTTTTATTCAGTACTGGGACTTTTAACTCACAATCTGGACAGTTTTACTGCCCGCTTTGGCAGTCAAACCCTCCACCATTCACCACCCCCGATGTGTGGTCCCTAAATTCAGATTTTCCCCTACAGAAAGAATGTTATAAACATGACCACGCCGTCTTTTTTATTTTAAACAGGGTCTCCCTATAGCCCCAGCTGGCCTGGAACTTGCTATGTAGACCAAGCTGGACTCAATCTCAAGAGATCCACCTGCCTCTGCCTCCTCTACAGGGATGTCTTACACATGTAATCCTACAGTAGGTGGCCTTTTGAAATCCGTTTTTTTCACTCTTCATACCTCCTTTGTAGCCAAGAATACTTTGTTCCTTGTAGTTGCTTAGTTTTCAATGATAAAGAAGAATAAAGCATTCAGCAGTTGGATCTTGGGCTTGCTTCCAAAATTTTAATATTTCAAAAATACTATGAAAAAAAATCATGTTCAGGTTTTTGTGTGAACGTAAGTTTTCACTTTTAGGGGGTTAGTGGGACAAAAGCCTATGATGTACTTGCTATGCCATAATGTAAGCACATGCTTAATGTTCAAAAAAAAAAGTATTGCCCTACCCTCTTCTGGAGTCGTACCATTTTACATTCTATCTCCAGTATATGTATGATTCCACTTTTCTATATTTTTACCATTATTTGGTGTTATCAGTTTTATAGCCATTTTATGAACAGTGATAATATTGTGGTTTAATTTGCATTTTCCTAATGGCCAATAATGTTGAATGTCAGGGCTCAGGTTTGCTTTGCTTAACAGGGGACCTACTGGCTTCAGGGCAGAGGGTCTGATCGGTGACAGAGTCATAAACTCTGGGACCTGTGTCTTCCCAATAGGACAATTTATTTTAAAATTCAGATGGTTTTTATACATCCCAAGGAACTAGCAGTCACGTGGGATATGGCAGTCACA